AATAATTTTTTTCTTTTCAGATGATAAATTATATAAAAACTATCCGAATGTTTTTTCCAGCGCTTTCGGCTATACATTTGGCCATTTTCAAGGATTAAATATTTTAACTGCTAAATAAGAAATAGTTTGTTGCATGTACGTTTAATAAAATGTTTTCATTTTTCAATACCTAACCGTGTTTTGAAAAATGAAAACATTTTATAAAACATACATGCAACAAACTATTTTTTATTTAACCGTTAAAATATTTCATACTTGAAAATGGCTAAATGTGTAGCCGAAAGCTCCTGGAAAAAAAAACAACTTCTGGACAGTTTTCATGTAATTTATTATTTGATAAAAAAAAAATAAATCGTATGAGAAATTGTATAAAAGAAACTAAATAAAAGCACCTTTGTCGTATTCTATGAATGCATATATATATATATATATATATATATATATAGGTATATGTATATATATGCATATATATATATATATATATATATATATATATATATATATATATATATATATGCACATTTCATTGAATACGACAGACAAGGGGATTTTATTTAGTTTTTTATACTATTTTTAATATTTTTAATACAATACACACACACACATACATATATAAATTATATATATATATATATATATATATTATAAATTAATTGATTTAAAATGTGGTTTTTTTTTCGTTACACAGTTCTAACCATGTTTCAAAAATGGAAGCTAAAAGCCCCGAATTTAATTTTGTAATTAGATTAACGACATTAATTCCATTTCATCCTCAAGCGAATTTTGGAGTAACTTTTAAAATTACTGGGTTTTAAAGACACAGCTAAAATCATAATTCATGTTTCCAAGGTTAAAACCCAGTAATTTTAAAAGTTTTGAAACATGGTCAGAACTGTGTAGCAAAAAAAAAAAACATATTTTAAATCAATTAATTTATAATATTAATGCTCTGTAAATTTACATTGAGCACTATTTTGTAAAAATAAACATATAAGAACACCGGATTATATGTCTTACTGTTCTTTCTTTTTTTTATTTATTATATATATATATATATATATATATATATATATATATATATATATATATATATATATATATATATATATACTTGAAAGAGGGAAAGAGCATATATATATAGGTAAGTCAATAGCCTTATCGGAGAAAATCATTGGTTTCACACAACGAATATTTATTTTTCAGCATAATATCATTCCCTGTAAATGCACTTAAGCCAATGCATTTTGTTTTACACAAAAATATTTATTTTTCAACATAATCTGGTCAAAGCACTTAGCCTGATTCATCTCATTATCATCAAACATTATGCAGTGAACATTTGAATTTAAAATCTTACTCTGTCAAAGTATGAGCTTACTAATCCACCCTCGTATATATATATATATATATATATATATATATATATATATATATATATATATATATATATATATTTATGTATGTATGTATGTGTGTGTGTATTTGTCTGTGTGTACACATGTGTGTATGTGAGCTCGCACACTTATGCATCTATATGATTGAGTAAAGAGAGAAATGTACCACTGATAGAAACAATATTCTAACTCGTGTCATGTGTCTTTCAATTTCCTTTTTCCTCTTGTTTTCTTTCCATTGTCCCTTGTAAATCTCATCGACCCCTCAGTCCCACTCTTCACCAGTCTGTACCCCCATAACTAACCTTCGAACCCACCTGCCCCACTCACCTACGTTGCAATGTCCGTTCTGTATTTGTTCAACGAATAACATCGAAATTTTATCGGCTTTTTTTTTTCTATCTCCATTTTTTGATATCAGGTTTTAACTCGTTCTATTCCCAATCTTATATTTTTCTTCTCTTTATTTTTCCGCTACTTTATATCCCCCCCACTTTTTTTGTTTGTTTGTTTGTTCTTTTTCCTTTTTTCTATCTCTTTACTTTTTTCTTGTCATTCTTTTTTTTTTTTGTAAAAAATTCTTCCAAGTATTTTATTCATTTTTACTTTAGAAACTTTTTACTATCCCATGTTTTCTCTTTCGTTCACGTTTCTCTTTTTCATTTGTTCTTTAGTTCCATATTTTTCTCGTTTCATTCTTTTTTTAACGTTCGCTTCCTTACCTACAGTTCTTTTATTTTTCATTTCTTTTTGTACCCTCTTTCTTCAGATTTCTTATCTTTCGCACTTTCATTCCTTCTTTCTTGGTTTTAAATATTTTCTTCTTTATTAATTTTTTACAGAATATTTTTTTCGTTTCATTTTTTGTTTCGTTCCACATTTTTTGTTTCCCTTTCTTTCGTATCACTTTTTCTTTCGTTTCTCTTTCTCTTTCCTTTCCATTTTCTTTCGTTTCACTTTTTCTTTCGTTTCTCCCTTTTTTTCTTTCGTTTCTCCCTTTCTTTCTTTTCACTTTTCTTCCGCTTCACTTTTTTCTTTCTTTTCACTTTTTCTTTCGTTTCCATTTCCTTTCGTTTCACTTTTTCTTTCGTTTCACTTTTTTTTAGTTTTCACTTTTTTCTTTCTTAATTCTTTATGTTTCTTTCTTTTTCTTTCTTTCTTTCTTTCTTTCTTTCTTTCTTTCTTTCTTTCTTTCTTTCTTTCTTTTGTTTCCATTTCCTTTCGTTTCACTTTTTCTTTCGTTTCACTTTTTTATTAGTTTTCACTTTTTTCTTTCTTAATTCTTTATGTTTCTTTCTTTCTTTCTTTCTTTCTTTCTTTCTTTCTTTCTTTCATTCTTTCTTTCATTCTTTCTTTCTTTCTTTCGTTTCCATTTTCTTTCGTTTCCATTTTCTTTCGTTTCCATTTTCTTTCGTTTCACTTTTTCTTTCGTTTCACTTTTTTATTTGTTTACACTTTTTTCTTTCTTAATTTTTTTATCTTTCTTTCTTTCTTTCGTTCTTTCTTTCTTTCCACGGGCATTGCCTCTATTTCCGTCCCGACATTTTTTTTTTTCATCAGTCTTTCTTTAATCTAAAAGCGAACCACGCGGGGCTTTTTTTTATTGTACAGTTACACTGTCATTGAACCCTGCAAACTAGGCGCGTGCCGAGCCATTCCGTGTCCTGTAAAGGTTGACATTTTTTATGTCCTTCGTCCAAGAGCTACAAAATCCGACCTCCGCAAATCCTCGGGTTGCCCATAACCCCGACCCACAACCCCTGGTTTATGCACAATGCTCTTCTATCTTTATTTCTAAGGATTCTCTCCCTTGGCTGCTTTTCCATTTGCAATAGCAAATCGCAACACCCTACCCTGGTCCACAGACGTGTTCTTTACCCCTCGACTTAATTAAATTCATTCCCTCATGCTTGGACAAGTTACTCCTTCCCCACACTTATCAAATTACTGTCACTCGGACAACTACTGTTTTCGGGAAGTATGCACGTTATTTTTTTATTTGTTTTTTAATAGGATTTTTGGGGGCTGTTCTCTTGGTGAATTTTATTTCGCGCGCAAATTGCTGTTGGTTGACTCTGCTATTTCGCATTGTAATCTTTTGATTAATATTTTTTCACCTCGCCTCATATTGCGATCATGCTTTATTTATAAAAATGTCAGATGGTGTTGATTATGTTTGGGCGGGCTATCAACCTCTTTGGGCTATTTAATGTCGAAATCTGCATATTTTGAACACGATTTTATGGTTGGAGAAAAGGACGGTCTTCTGTCTTAACTTTAAACTTAGCTAGCCACAAACACTGACCCAAACATACAAACAATAGTCCTAACACCAAAACAACTCATTCTTACTTACCTTTCTTACTACATCCACCATAATACCTCATTGTCTCTATGAGAATCCTAACTAGTCTTCATATGTACAATTCATTATCTCTGTGTGTAGGGGGGGAATAAAACAACAATTTAAAAAACTTCCCTCTCCAAAAGGCAATACCTGCTCCTATTTATACTTGGGAGAGTCCATGCGTGCGTGGGTAAATTGCCATAACAGTAGTGATCGAGGAATCGGTTCCACAAATTAGCAATCTGTGGGTAGAAGCTGCTTGAATGTAAGTTACGTCTTACCAATAGAATATGAAGAGAATGAGAATTGTTCGCTACAATGTGCATGGCATGGCAGATCTTAGCCGTGAAGGTCAGAACTGGTGGAACTAAGGGATGTAGTTCGTCTGAGCACTTTCCACGGAAATAGCGATAGATTGGCGAGAGATTTGTAACGTTTTGTTTGTAGGGAAAAATATTCTGCAGTTTGTTGTTTTTTTATTTTTTTGTATTTTGCGTCTTCACATTTAAGTGAACATGTTGTACACGGCCATCTTTTTCAGATCTAATGTCAACTTTCAACACTTTACCCTGCTATTTGCATCAGGTCGGTTAAATAGAATTAGGTAGTGAACGTGCAAAAATGTCTGCATTTTTCAAATAGGCTTTTATGAAATCTTTGATCATGTATAAGAGGACTGGTGAAAACACCACATTTTTTTGCTACTTATTATTACGGAAACTAATAATTTTTGACTGGCATATTTACATCGAATGTGAATTTTTTTTTCTTAAAGGTAGCATGCTCTAATGAAAGCCTTTTTATACTTTATTTTCGCTCTTAAAATGCATTGATATTTTGATAGCAGAACCTTGCACGGGAGAATACTGAAGTTTTACAAAACATTTCATTGATAATCATAGTTGTAAATTCATGTTATTTATATTAAAAATTAAAAAATATCGATTGTGGTTTCATGAGCTTACGTTATACAGGAACGATCAATTAGCTTATCTTCATACCCTGCCTGGTGGCAGACGCTGCTGGTGGCGCCAGGGGTGGCGGTCCCGCCATAGCCACCGAGACCGTGATATCACCCCTGGTCGGCGGTTGATGAAGACAGGGTATCACACGTGCTAACAATCGTTGTATGTTAACACACACACACACACACACACACATATATATATATATATAACGTAAACTGTCAACGTTTATGTGTGTGTATATATATATATATATATGTGTGTGTGTGCGTGTGTGTGTGTGTGTGTATAGCTTTTAAGCTATCATTTATATATATATACATATATATATATATATATATATATATACTAGCTTAAAAGCCGTCCTATCGGGTGGCATTTAAGCTAGCTCCAACGGAGCGTGCTTGATTCAGCCTTCATCACAATAGGTAGGGAGGTGTAGATGCGATAGGCAACAACAAACTACAGAAGAACTCAAATTTGATCGCTGTATTTAAATGTTGCATTAATATTTAAGTTTAACTTTTAAAAGTTCACTTAATTTAAAGAGAGTTTGATGTACGTAGATCCTTACTTTCCGTACAAACAATTATTTTTATTTCATGTCTGACTTTCGATGGATTTTGCAATGAATTTCAATTATTCCCGAACTTATTTTCAAGTTATAAAAATTGTTATCGTACAAAAAAAAAAGAAAATTGTTGCAAAAAAATCCCATAAAAAATTGCCAAAAACAATTGCAGTAATGAAAAATTGGAATTCCAAAATGTCCGGTTTGCGGGTCCGAATCAGGCCCGGAATGTTTTTAATTTGCTTATGGAGTCAGCCTGATTCCAAAATGGTATGATATGTTGGGCTACAGCCTGAACGAATAAAGTTGAAAAAATGTGACGCAGTTATTCACTGATATTCGCATTTATTATATAGATGACTACATGTCAAAATTTCTATGCACAGAATAGAGAAGTTTCCTACCTTCCCTTAACGTATGTCTTTTATTATTCGATAAAAGATTGTAATAATAATAATAATAATAATAAACTTTATTCAGTAATAATAATAATAATAATGATGTTTAATCAGTTTTAATAATAACAATAATGAACGTTATTCAGTATTAATAAAATAATAATGATCTTTATTCAGTAATAATAATAATAATGATAATAATAATGATCATTATTCAGTAATAATAATAATTAATTTTATTCAGTAATAATAATAATAATGAACTTTATATAGTAATAATAATGATCGTTATTCAGTAATAATAATAATCATAATAATAATAAAGAACTTTATTCAGTAATAATAATAATAAATAGCCAACAAATTCAAAAGTGAATTTCAAGTGGATGAAGAAGTGCAAATAAACCATAATACATCTACTACAGCCGCAAAATACCTAAAAAAGAAAGCAAATGCAATGTACCAAATGCAGAAACGATAACAAGATACGCCTCTACATGGTGAATACTCTGCCCGTGCCAAACAAGCTGTTGTAGACAAACCTTGTACCCATCAGCGGTTATGTAGTGCCGGATTTAAAGTTGAAACCGTGGAATAGTGGAAAATATCATGAAGCCATTTCTGACCTTAGGTTTCTGGTTGGGACCCAGAAAAAATGTGTATACAACCGAAATCAAAGGAAATAAAATAATAATAATAATAATAATAATAATAATAATAATAATAATAATATTCACTGGAAACCCATCACAAAAGATTTTTTCATGATCACCGCTCATCGATGTGGCCTCAGGTAAAAGATAGATGATCTTTACATGTGTACATGAAATAAACTTTGAAGTAAAAGTCTGTAAAAACGAAAATACTTTTGATCAAAACTCTGGGGTTTTTTTTTGTCTTTTTAATTGATCTAATGAATTTTTAAATAGATTTTAAACCTGTATTTCTTATTACTATAAATATGCTTAATGGTTACTCGTGTTTGAGTCGACAAACAGTGAAATTAATATCAACCAGGCGTGATGGATTAGTCCTACCAAAGAAAAATATGCTTCCCGACAAGTATCGAACCTGTATCACCTTTTTCCATCAGGATAGCCATCATGATAAAGCTTAGCACAATTACCTTTTTAAAGAATACCCGTATCTCGTCGGGGCTTCTTTTAATCTATGTCTCAGTCAGTCAGTTATGTATTATACACGCTTAGGCGATCATGTATCTTTCGATACATGACTGACGAGGCATATTTTTCCAGCAGTAGGCTGCCATTTCTTTCTGCGATAGACTAGTTGCCATCCAAGGCTATAGAACCCGGTCTGTCCTGCTATTTAAACATAGTCAGTTATCTGCCATGCGTGATACACGCTTAGGCGATCATGTATCTTTCGATACATGACTGACGAGGCAGATTTTTTCCCGCAGTAGGTTGCCATTTCTTTCTGCGGTAGACCAGTTGCCATCCAAGGCTAGAGAACCTGTCCTGCTGTTTGCCCATAGTAGAAGAGGATTCATACCTTTCCCAAGGGTAATGTAATTCGACTGGAATTCGAACTCAGCTCTCCGCTTCCTCAATCCGAGCCGCTATCCATTACTCCACCGTAATCTATGTCTGCTAGCTTAATTTTTACCGCCAAAACGTTAACACCGGAATCGTTTAAATTAATTTTTAATCCGACATTACCTCTTCTTATTGGTGGAGAAATTGACTTGGTCAGGTGAGAAAGAGGGCGGTGTACTTATCTTCGGTTGTAGAAATTCTTATTAAAAAAAAAATGTTATCTTCTGTGTTAACCTTTTATAGTTGCAGTAGTCACGTGACCGTGTTACGATAAGTTGTATAAAAGGAGAGGGAATCTCTCTTTTTTTTTTTTTTTTCTTTCTTCAAAGAGTTATCTTTCATACTATCAGACGGTTATTCGTCGCGGAAAGGTGGCCATATTTTTCGAAACTTAAGGTAAGTGCTATTGCTTCCATTTCCTCGGCCTGACTAGTTTTCTCGATATATTTAAAAACTAGAAAGACCCGTGAAAATTTCACGGTTTACCCATTTTTAATTTTCTTAATTTTAATTCTTATGTTAATGGTTGAACAAGCTTATAGCGAGTTCTACTACAATAACGTATCCGCAAAAATCCCCGCCCTCTCGCAATGTTTGAGCTTAAAACTTTAACAAAATATTGCAATAACAATCATAAATATGAATGCTGGTCATTATTCAAAGAAAGTAAGAAGGTGCAAACGAAAAAAAAATGAGATTAATAACTTTTTCCATTTCACTGAAACAGACGTTAAAA